GTGCAATTAAAAATAGAAAAATGTGGTTTAGGGGAGGGGAGGGGGTGAAACGTAAATTAAAACGTAAGTGTTTTTTCACGTACCCAGCAACACAATTTAGATCATTTAGGAGCCAGGCTTCCTGCCAGGGCCAACCAGGGCTGAGAGTGAGAGGGATACAACATTCCAGTAGAAAGACCGATACTCTCGAGAATTGAACTTGGGTCCTTTGCGTGTAATAGCGAAACCCTTTTAACCTCTACAACACAGAAGTCAGGTTTTTTTTTTAAATTCTTCTTTTATTCGGATGCTACACATCGACAACAAAAAAATCGAAAACGAAAGACACTTTCATCTCCGCATCCCTCAGATCTTGTCGCTGCATGACCTTGGCGTCCCTGGAGGAATCACATGGTGGACCAGGGCAATGGTCAGCACGGTTCTCAAGACGCTCATCACTGGCAGTCCTTTCGGAAAAGGGAACGATCCTGAACTCAAGGTTAGAGAAACACATTACGAGCAAATTTGTCGCATTGATGTGAAATCACGCGCTCGTCAAAATAATGGAATCAGAGAAGCTGTAGTTAGAGGACCAATATGCAGTCCGTTGGGTTGGAGAGCGCGCCTATGTTGTTTCTGTCTGTCTGATTGCTTCTTCCAAGCGCTATATGACCACTATTGTGTCAGTGTGCCTCTCTTTATACAAACTCAAACTCAAAGAGCCATTTTACGTATCTTTAAAATTTGTTTTAAGGACCTGCCTCGCTACTGATTGGTTCCATACCACTGTTATATATTGCTGAGGGGAACATGGGCTTGAAAACTCATGTCGAATTGGAAAAACAAAAGTGTGAATAATTCATTAACTCATTGTCTTCTTACTTTCGGCCTGGCCGACTACATCCATCATCCATGGTAGTTCCGTAAGTTTTCTGACATATACCCATAATAATTATACTATTCTTTTGAAAATATAGCCCTTTGATTCTGAAGCCGCGTGTAAGTAGGCCTACTTTACGCTAATATAATAAGCAGCCGGTATTTTCACGACATGGGGCAAAAATCTGTGCGCCTTTTCACGACCTGTCGTGGAAAAAAGGGCTAAGCGTGTTTTCACGACATGTCGAAGACACCGGCTCTTACCGCTGAGGTCTAGGCCCAGGCCTATATTAGCTACAATACATTTTTTTTCGGTAGATCTTGATCTAGATCTAGATTCCGATTTTGGACCTGTTCTACCGCCCTTCCAATTACGGTGTCAAGACTACCGGATTTGTTATGGGTGCTGAGAGTGCTTCCAACTTTCCCTTGCAAAACCCGTAGCCTGGGCCTACATCCCGAAATTCTGTACTTGCCGCATCACCATCTATACCGCAACATGTGCGGAAGAGAGAGAGAGAGAGAGAGGGAGGGGGGGGGAGGGACTTGCCTTTCTAGCTTCTCGGACAGTAGATCTACATGTAGAATCAAACCCTCGGCAGTAAGTTGTTGTAGGCCTATTTGCCCGCATTCGACATTGTCCAGGTCGTGAAAATAACGGCAGCCAAAATGAAGATTTAAAAAAAAAAAGTGAAATTGTGCTCTGGTGTTGGCATTCGAACGTGTAAAAAATGGTGGAAAATTAGAGTACCGTATAGACTTGGTGATCATACCGTCGGGATTGATGTTCCCGGATGTGTGTAGCCTTCTGTTAGGGATGCGATGACAAATTGAATAGCGGCAAAGGAAAAATGCTATTTTCAACCCTCGGAAAACTCTAAAAAATCTGTAATTAAAAGGCCCCTTCCATGTTCTGCATGTTACACCTGAGCTCTACTTTCAGTACGTCTCTTGAAGAAGAGCTTTTTTAAAAGTACAAGGACAAGTTTTAAAAATGCGTAGGCAGATCTTGATCTATGTCACAGTAGGCTTGAATAGGCCTGGATTCTAGGTCCAGCCATCGCCAGCAATCGTTCGCCACTTACTCAGAGAGAGAGAGAGAGAGAGAGAGAGAGAGAGAGAGAGAGAGAGAGAGAGAGAGAGAGAGAGCTCTTGGGGATTTTGAGAGATTTTACTAGATCTAAGTAAGGAAGGAAGACTCGGGATCTAATCTTGAATGAACATGTCGATCTGTATCATGTATATTGTGATTTCAAATTTCAACCCTCTAAATTGATGTTACAAATAAAATATACAACCAAAAAAACTATAAAATAAAGATTTTGAGCGCAGTGTCTTTGATATATGTCTCTGCTCGTACTGTCGTAGCTTTCATAATCAATGTTTACAAATCAAGAACAGGTTGAACGGGTAGTGTTTCGACTCGTTTTTGATATTGTTGTTTTTAGTGGTGACTGATTTCGAGAATTTTTTGCTGAGACTTTGTACTGCAGTACTTCCAAAATTCGTACTCAAACTCAGGATACGATTTGAAAATTCGTCCCACTTCGAAGGGATTTCCGCCGTTCTTATTTTCAGAGAGAGAGAGAGAGAGAGAGAGAGAGAGAGAGAGAGAGAGAGAGAGAGAGAGAGAGAGAGAGAGAGAGAAGCATAGCCAGCAGAGTGCCCTCTGGCATGACCCAGCTGTTCACTGATTGATCCAAAGAGAAAAACAAGTCGTGAAAACGCGCGTAGATTTTTCTTCCAGATCCAGAACAGGTCGTGAAAAAGCGCATAGATTTTTTTTTACGACATGAATACCGGCAGCCAATATTATATTATGGTGAAGGTCAAGATCTGTGCAAGAAGTGAACAGGAATTTCATTACAATAATTGAGAATACATATTTATGAAAACTACTATTCGCTGATTTAAAAGCTATCGATTCGCCATCTTGACCTTATCATCTCATCATCATCGTTGCCTTTCTCACTCGTAGTCAGGGTATAGGCCACGAATAAATACTTTGTACCTTTCTCTATCCTGGACTAGCCTCTTGATGTTATTCTATGTTTTCCCACTTTTCTGTATATTGAAATGTGGGAATCCCACACCATATTTTTCAATTAGATTTTGAGACAAGCGTTATAATAAATAGAAGCTACTTTATGTAGAAAAAAGGACACATCCTCCACAACTGTTTTACTTTGGGTCTGATAAGTTAGTAAACAAAACATAATATGAATTCTTCGATGCCACCATCCTCATACTTCCATTTTTCAACTTAATCAAAAATTTAATATTGCGGGGCAATTCCACACCCACATGAGCACGCATGCCAAAATGAAAATAAAAAGACACTGACAGACATACAAGAAATTAAAGCTGAATTGAAAAATAAAACAAGCAGACAGAAGTAAATGATTAAAGCTGAAAGTCAAACAGATTTCTGTTGGTTCTATAAGGCTTTAAAGAGGGGGGGGGGGGGGTGGAATTCCCCCAAGTATGGAATTCCCCCACCTTCCCATACATCAATAATTTATGTGACTCTTCTCCAGGGTCCTCATGAACTTGACTTGACTCACCGTAAAAATGTATGAATCACATTTTGTTTTGGTCAAGATTGTCAACAAAAGAATAATAATATAGGCTTAACTAAAATGCATTAAATTGTCCCTGAGTCAGATCACCGACACTGAGTACGCCGGTGTGCCTGTGCGTGTATACGAGCCTCAGAGTCTGTCCGGGGAGGGGAGGAGGCCGGTGATGGTTTACTACCACGGTGGGGGATGGTCGTGGCTTGACGTCGGTAAGTTGGAGTAGGAAGGTTGTCGATGTTGTTGGTGCTGTTATTGTTGCTGCTGTTGTTGATGAGATTATTGTTCTCGTTGTTGTTATTGTTGTTGTCGGTGGTGGTGCTGTTGTTGTTTTAGTTGTAGTTGAGATTATTGCCCTCGTTGTTGTTGGCGGTGTTGTTGTTGTTGTTGTTGTTGTTGTTGTTGTTGTTGTTGTTGTTGTTGTTGTTGCTGGGATAATTTTCCTCGTTACTGTTGTCGTTGTCGTCGTCATTGATGTCGTTGTTCTCTTTGGTTGCTGTTATTGCTGTTGTTGTCTTTGAATCTTTGATTGTTGTTGTTGTTCCTTTCTTTAAAGGTTAGCTGGGGGCTCTCGTAGTCTAAAGGTTAAGGTGCAGGCCTCTCATCCAAAGGTCCCGGTTCGAATCCGGGTAGCGACAGAAAAATTTTCTTCTCTAAAATTGTCTCCTTTGACCTTCTTTCCTGTTCTCTAGCACGGTCTGCTGTTTCGTCTCCTCTTTCTGCCCCCACCCCTTCACCTCCTTTGCCCCCTCCTCTGGGCTCCTGACTCTTTCTGCAGCCTTTCTACTTTCTACTGCTACTCCTTGACTCCTTCTTACAGCTGTCTTTCTGCCACACCCCTGATCTTCTGGTAGGAAAGATCTACACCTAGCCTTCTCGGACAAGGGCGAAAAATCTCGGAGGGCCCGTGTGCAAGTTGCGCACGTTAAAGATCCCTTGGTGGTCTAAAATCGATAAGAGTAGGCTTCGGCCGCCACCCGGGCAAAATTCAAAATTTCCTACCAACTAAAAGTATTGGGTGTGTCCCGCGCGCTCATATGACTTTATGCAGTTGCGAGCGCCGCAAAACACTTACCAAAAAAAAAAAAAAAGAAAAAAAAAAGGTTAGCTGGCTATACCCGCCCCATAATACTAATACCGGTACTTAATACGTATTACCGTACAGGTACTAAAATTGCTTGGACTTTGTACTTTCAGATGTCTATGACGCTTCGACTCGTGAGCTGGCTATGAAGGTTCCGATGGTGCTTGTTTCTGTCGGGTGAGTTATTTGGTTGATTGTGTGTGTGTTTGCTTGTTTATTTGTTGTTGTCTTTTTTAGGTTGGTTGGTTGCGTAGGTCGGTGGGTGAGTGGGTGGCTAGTAAACTAGTTGGTTGTTTTGGTTGGTCGGTCGATCGTACAGAGTTAAAAGCGGCGTCGTGAAGCTTATATCTTTTTAAGTTTTCTACAATTTGCAGACGTACATGCATGTATTCCTGACGTGTAACTGTTGCTCTTGCAGGTACCGACAGTCTCCCGAGCACGCCCACCCCATCCCCCTAGAGGACTGCCTCAGGGTCACAGAGTACGTCATCAAACATGCAGACGACCTCCAGCTCGACCCCAAGAGAGTGTCTATCGCCGGGGACAGCGCGGGCGGCCATCTCACGGCAGCTGTGGCGCTTCAGTTACGGGAGAAGATCAAGATACAGGTAATTATTTACTAACTGTATACTGCATAGTGACACGTTTTAAAAAATAGGTACATGCATGTACGAGTTTACCCCCCCCCCCCTTTCGACACAACGCTACCCCAGAATTACAAAGTTCTATCTGACATGTTTGCACTTTTGGCCGTTCTGAGTTACTAAGACCATGAGGTCAGAAAGCAAATACTCTTCTATCTGCTCTATCAAAATCATATTATTTATTAGTAGTCGTTATCAAGATATTCAAAGAATAGCATTTTAAAAAGCTTGACATACAAAGTATTGTGAAACTCCATTCCATTTTTGGAGGGTCAAATTTCTCAAAACTAGGTACTGAGCAGTAGGCCTACTTTTTATAATTCCAGGGTAGCGACTATATGGAAATAATTTAGGAGGTGGGATTCCGATTTTGCCTGTCCTGACCAACTCGTTCTGAGAGGGACACAGCATCACAGAAAAAGGACCGAGATTGGATAAAAATTGTTCTCCCCACTCGGAGATCGAATTCGGGCCTCCTGTTTGAAACAGCAAAGCGCCTAACCACTACATCACAGACGTCGGTATAGTGAAAGGTAACAGTGGTCATAATGTATGCAGGGAAAGAGTAAGAACGACAGACAGAAACAAAAGAAGAGAAGCAGGAGCTACCAATAGTGCCCGCCAGCTAAAAGCTAAAACACAGCAAATAAATAAACAGCACCGGCTTGAACTTGAAGGGATCGGACACATCAAGACCCTGAAACCCCAAACTTGTTTTTAAAAATCAACAAAAGAAAAATAACAATCACGTGAGTTTTTTTTTTGGGTGTCGTCATATCACTGACTGCTTGATCAGATTCGACCAAGTACATACCGGTACATCACTGTTATAAAATGTAGTGGGGTTTTATTTCCCCCACTGTTCTTCCTCAATATTATCTTCCCTCTTGACCGGGTTCTTGATTCAGGTCAAGGTACTTCCTCTTCGACATGACCTAAACGGAGACTGGAAAGGCATCTCAACTTGTCATTTCAAAAGTAATTCGTTCAGCCTTGATAGTAAGCTATAGTTTGTGGAATCAACTTCTCGCTTCTTTCTTCTCTTACCCAGGTCCCGATCTACCCTTGTCTGCAGCTTCTAGACCTCCAGACGCCCTCGTATATCGAGAATCGGAACTTCATACCCGGCATGCTGAACGATGTTTCCATGCTTTCCTACTGGATGAACTATGGCAATATTTCCTATCAATGGATGCCAGACTTCCTGGCCAACAATCATACCTCGCCTGAACTGAAGAGATCCAAGTACGCCTCTCGTATCAGCCCCAAGTGGTACATGCCAGAACACATTCGGACGGAGAGTCTGCGACGCATGGACAAACGCCAAGATTTTGGAGACTCTGAACTGTCCCAGAAATACGAGAGCGTTTTACTCGATCCTTTGTTTGCCCCTCTGATGGCAGACGACAAAGAATACGTGGGACTTCCGCTGACGTATGTGCTGACAGCCGGATATGACGTACTGCGAGACGATGGTTTGATCTACGCGCAGAGGCTGAAAAAAGCTGGCGTGAACGTGCACTTAGCTCATTATCAGGAGGGGTTTCATGGCATGATATTTTTCTTTGACGGGCCTATCGCGTTTGACGTGGGCAAGCGGGCAATGCAGGATTTAGTAAGTTTCTTACAAGAAAATCTCTAGACGCTTTAGAAATGTAGGTACAGTACAGTGGGCTCCGGCTGTAAATAACAACAGAACTGCTAGGACCGACGTGATACCCCTGTTATAGCCGAATCCTGTTATATTGACGAGGATCAAGTTTACTCCAGCTGGGACTTGTAATTAACGAATGGGATCGGGTTTTTAAAAAAATTATGTATTGTGTATAGTGTACCCACTGCCAATTTATCAGCTATTGTTCCTTTCTTTTCCAGTGATATATTATTTTCTCCTCATCTTTGACATTGAGCACTTGAAATGAAGAAAAGGTGGCTCAAAATGAGGCGTGAATATCCATCACTTCAAGGCATTAATGATGCTGGTTGACCTTGTGGGTCAGCAAATTTGAAACTATTCAACATTGATTAAATTCATTGTTTGTCTGACTCACTGTGGAATGAGGCGATCGTCAATTTAGGGCATATGGAGTTATTGGTATCATCTTAAAGTAAAGCTTGTTCAGTTGTCTTGCTGTTATGGAAAAAATACTCATCTATTTTGAATAAAAGTCGAGATATTTCAATTTTAATGAGATAGAGGTCACCTGACTTCAGCAGTACAACAAGCAAGAAAATGGCCGCCAAAGTTTGGTGACTTCCATAGCTAAAGATTCCTTGAAAACTGAAAATTTTCTTTTTTGTGCCTTTTATTAATGGTTTTTTTTTTTAATCAAGTAGAAAGATGTCTTTCATAGGACATAAAAGGGGTTGGGCCAAATAAAGGAAATTATTTAAAAATCACCAAACGCTCCGAAAAATGCTGATTTCTTGGATTTCTCTATTTTGACGAGCGCCTGACTTTACCATGAAGCATCACACATTAATATTATGATAATATTAATGTGTAACAAAATCAGTAATCTAATATATTTTTTAAGTAGAAATTTACCCAAATTTGCACATCTCATCACCACGAGTTATACAACTGAACTCAAACTCAAAGCACCACGTCTGCAATATTATTGATATGATATAACGTGATGTTTCTAGAATTCTTGCTTTCGTTCCATACTTCTACTATCTATAATTCATTTACAGTATACAACATGTACATATATATTTGGAAATCACTAGAAGTAAGAAATCTGAACTAAAAAGACACTCATTGACAACAGACAGAAAAAAAAGAAAATAGGACCCCCCAAAAGCCAGAAGATGGTTCCTTAAACCAACATCCAAACATCCCAGAACATGTCAAATACAGAATTTTAAAGGTTGGACCTCCAAGACCCCATATATATTGGTCATATTTCAGAAATATAAGGAGATATTTATTATATAAGTGTGTACTGAGTCCATTCATCAACTTACAGTATTCACTTATTTTGTGTGTTTTGGCTTCTAGTAATTTCTACGAAGAATGTTCTTTTTGTTTCAGAGACTTCCTTTTCCCCTTACATTACCTGAGTATGATCTTGTCCTAAAAGTTTCTCTTTTAGAGCAGGCATAGGCAAGCATGTCCAAGTGGTGGCCGTGTTAGTGTTAACGATTCTGAATATTTTCTTAAGCCAGAGTCGGCTAAAATTGGGAGAAATTGAAATATACAAACTCACACAAGTGAGACTAAAATACGGACACTGGGGCAAATTTCTTCCATGCACATTAAAAATTTCATGAGATAAAAATATTGATATTAGATCGGTCGATTCCGTCTGGGCCAGAAACTTTTGATTTTGATCTTCAAGACAGACACGTTTGAATTGAACTCAACTCATACCCAGCCACATTCATCTCATTTACACTTAGTCGACTTGTGGGCCCAACTGAAGACGAAATGCTCGCTCGCTGGCTGGATCTG